TATACGTGAGGCAACCATCATACCTATGCCAAAGCACAGTAAAACGCAAGTATATTTCCGGCCTTAAGCCCCAGGCTCTCCAAACCAACATCAAAGAACTAGGGGCAACAAAGGCCGACTGCTACATCGTCCATTCTGCCTGTGTCTCAGCTAAGAAGTTGGACTTGGTAACACTTGACTAAAGCCAGTGGCTAGGTAGCATGGATGTTCGGCACCTGCATGCAAGGACAGAACTCTCCTTACCAGCAGGTGGCGGTAGTCCTTCATAAAGGGACACTGTAAGACTGACAGCGTGGTTTTAAGACACTAGTTAGCCAGTTAGCACAGTAACAATATTGTTAAAAGAACAACAGATACAGTGCGCTAGCCAACAAGAACGCAAACAAAAACAAACCGTTTCTGTTTAAGAACTCAGTGGCTAAGAAACAATATTACCTAATATAATAAGTTTGTTTCCATCTCTTGCACTGAGCTGAACCGCAAATCAAAGGGATTTCTCTCACTGGTGATCTCCACTCCGTCTGACACCAATTTCACACGCTGAATCAGCCGAAGAGCAGCTGACAATAGCCTGTAAGTGCCAACGGTGCAGGACACATAGCAAAAACTAAGGCAACAGATGCTCACTGCTGACCGGACTGTTGCTTTGGTGTGTCACGTGTGTGTGACGACGGTTTCTGATAGCTCTGGTGTACCACAATTTGTCTATGTACGCTCACACTGCTATTTACCATGCTGAGAAAATACAAAGCCCAGAAATAGATGAGCCAAAAAGGAAAAAGAAAAAGCTTTGCCAAAATTTCCTCACTGGCAAATTAAATTGTTTTGTGTTGTCAGAAATGAAAAACTCATGTGAATGACAAAGCATCTGGTGTGCATCACAAACACTACTTTGTCTCCTTTTTGACTATAGCTGTGCTGGTGTTAATAAAAACATGCATGAAAACAAGTCCTGGAAAATGTGTTTGAATAAGAGAATGTGTGTGTGTGTGTGTGTGTGTGTGGGGGGGGGTGATTACTCATTCTGCTTCACACACCGTTTCACTTCGTACACCTGTGGGATGAGTGCGACCTGAGCACCTCTGCATACTGATCAGGCAGAGAGAAGGCCTTTCAATAGGCTGTGCTTTGCGTGGAGACTATTACTTGCCTAACCCACATTAACCCCTTCAAATTAAGGGCGAGGAAGGAGACAGGATTCAGCTGGAGAATACTTCTTTAACAACACTGGCTCAGTCACTCTAATGTGTCCGGGTTGGTCCACACATCTCTAGTTTCAACATCCAGAGTTTTTCCACACTGTTTCTGTTTAATAGCTCAATAAAGCAAAAAATCTGATAAGGTTTCCCTTGAAATATTGCTTAGTTTCCAGAGTCTGAAGTCTTATCTAGCCAAAAATATTAATTTGTTTTATGATGCCTGTAAAGCAGGCAATGAAAACACTCACAAATGAAATTATAATCGTTACCATTACAATTGAGTTAAATTAGCATAAACTGGGTGTCAGGAAGGCTCCATATTTTGTTATTTCTTATTAACTTGCATAAGCTAAAAGTTGCATTTAAATAGAAATCATCTGATCTGTCAATGACCTACAATGTAGGGAAAGGAGACTGGAAATGGGGGGCAGGTACGGTCATGGTGGTAAAAACATCGGTGGAGTTGATAAGCGACAAAAACACTGAACTTTGGGCAGCGTTATCAGTGCTCAAAAGAGATTAATTCAATTGCTACATTTTTAAAAGCTGACTGCACCTTCCTCTACTGTTCATCGGTGAGTCTTCAGATCATTAATCTCATAACCTGCATATAATTCCCTTGTGAATTTTAACTTCATGCAAGAAATAGATTTCTTAACGCGGGTTCCACTTTCTATTTCAAATAGGGGATATATCATTTTGAAATGAAACCTCTCAAGTGTAGAGAAAGAGATCGAAGGACAGTGCGATTCAGAAGAAGGAGGGAGGGAAATGGAGTAAGCCAGTCAGCTCGTTATCAGTCTGCTCCAAAATGGCCCTTTAATTAAAAGCAGGAGGTAATGAACACGCTTGGGAGTCTGATTGGCAACTAATGCCCCTTGCTGTGAGCTGATGGGCTCCCCCGTCTGCCCTTTTAAAGCTAGACTGAATGGCACACTGCTGTGTGTGTTCTGACTCAGTACTAGAAGCCATAAAGCTCAGCAGCAGGCCAGCTACCTCTGGATTAAAAACTGTAACGCCTTGGGATTTGGAGTCTTACAATATGGCTTTGAAATTCAAACTGTACAAGTATTGTTAATGAGTACCTTCTAGATTAGGTTTAAAATGTGGAAATGTTAAGTAAGTTACTGTTAAGATTATACAGTCTGACACATTCTTGTGCCATTTATGTCACCACTAGATGGACTTTGCTCACATCATTCTCTCAGGACAAGACATCTCTGTGTGATCAGGGTTGCAATAATCCAGGAGGAGTTTGAAGTAAAACAAAATAATTCCACATCTTTTAAAATGAGCACTCAGTCCAAAGATATTATAATTTGTCTGATCACTTTAAGGACTTTTTCTCAACATGTTGCACATGTCATTGTCATGTCTGGCATGGGTGGCTGACAGGATTACTGCAGGGCTTGAAATACCACGTGCATATGTATGATAGTGCACCTAAAATCTAAGATATGCATGCAATTCTTAGCTCCACATGCACTGGCGATAGTAACTTGGTACAGCTGGAGAATTAGCACCTCATGGTTGTATGCCTCCACGAACCAGTCATGTTGCAGTTGCAGTTTACATCCATGTCCATCCAGTCTCATATGTAGCCATGACAGTTGACAATGCTTCAAATGTTGCTGCAGAGAAGCTACAAATTCTGAAACATTGATGCTTCACACACATCTTCAACTTGGCAGCACAGAAGATCTATAGTTTAACAGTAGGCACCAAGTATAGTGTCACCAATTCAGTATCTGACCAAATGTCTCCAAGTTATGGCATTAATTAATGGCCAAAAAAGTGTTTTTGCTAAACACGATAATGTCACAGGCGGCATGGTTAGCACTGTCGCTTCACAGCAAGAGGGTTCCTAGTTTGATCCCAGGAGGGAGGCAGAGTTTGCATGTGCTCCTCATGTCAGCATGCGTTTTCTCCGGGTACTTCAAAGACATGCAGGTTAATTGGTGACTCTAAATTGCCCGTAGGTGTGAATGTGAGTGTGAATGGTTGTCTGTCTCTACGTATGTGTCAGCCCTGTGATAGTCTGGTGACCTGTCCAGGGTGTACCCTGCTTCTCGCCCAATGTCAGGTGGGATAGGCTCCAGCCCCCCCCCGCGACCCTCAAGAGGATGAAGCGGTTACGGAAATGAATGAATAATAATGTCACAGTGACCTTTTAGGTATAAAATGTCATCATTTCTTTACCTCATCCTATCAGACATTTGTGTTAAATTTTGTCATAATTAGCGTATGAATTCTTGAGTTATGGCTTAAAATGTGTTTTGTAAGGTCACAGTAACCTTGACCTTTGATTACCAAATTCTAATCACTTCATCCATGAGTCCAAGTGGACATTTGTGCCAAATGTGAAAAAAAAAAAAATCAAGGCACTCTTGAGCTATCCTGTCCCCATTAACAAGAATGGGATGGACAGATGGATGGATGGACAACCTATGAACATAATGTCACCGGCCATGGCTATCACGAAAAAAAAACATGGTGCATGTCATTTTAAATGTTGCATGCACCAGTGCATATACACAGACCTGTCACATGTCTGAACTTAAACCAGTAGAAAAAAAAAATGGGCATATGAGTGAACAAATAAACACTCGTCCAAAGCCTTGAAACATAATGTTTATGTGCCCATGACCTGGACATTCTCCCGCTCTGACACAACTCTTCAGTGGTGAGTGGTGTAAAAAAAAAAAAAAAAACTTGTAGCGTTCAGCCCCAAGCCTGAACGTACAGGAAGTGACTGTGAGCCTTTCTGACCAGACAGTTCCAGGTACCAAAGAACCACAGGAACTAAATGCATGACATTGTCACTAGCCAGCTGGATGGAGAAAAAGTGTTGGTAAAGTTAGAAATAACCAAGTGGAACAAACCATGACTGACTGATGCAACAGAATTTCCAGATCATTAGTCAGTTATTTTCGGCTTATTATTTAATTCCACACATCTTCGTCAGCCTGCCTCCCGATGTGAAAAGGCATTTACACTACAGGCATGATACATGAAGACTACTCTCGCTTGTAGCACCTATTGTAGCATTCCACCGAGTTTCTCTGTCAGACATTTTAAGAGTCAGCTGCATCGGAGCGACCCACTCTGCAACATACATGGTGTCGGCTGAAAGCTCATCAAGGCGCGGGCAGTAATCCAACCATCCATGGCATGCCAAACAATGTGCAAATCTCCCCAAGTCTCTAAGTCGTTTTTGTCTAGGATACAGTAATCCCTTGGTCTCTGTGCCGCAGTGTGAGCATGTATTTGAATATATTAAAAACTTCACGGAGAGGGCGATAAGCTGAATTTGAGCTCCTAAACCAGACTCCTATTAAGTTTCCTGTGAAAGTTTTACCCAAGGTTGTTCAAAGAGTTTCACTGCAGAGCTCTCTGAGGTCTGAAAATGGGTTATCCTTGGTGCGCTGGTGTTCTTGGCTGCCTAGTCTGTCCCTTTCATCTTCAGAAGGAATACATACCTATGTATCTATGTGCAGATTTGTATATGCCAGCACATGTCAGTATTTGAGGTGTGTGTCAGTGTGAATGTGTCTGTAGGTTTATGGGAACAGCCTATGGATGTGTTTGTGGTGTTTTTAAAAAGTCAGAAATACTTTCTCTTCTGCAGCATGGTTACATCAGTCTATAACTAAACTCTTTTGACTTGTAACCTTGCCAGCCAACCATTTCTTTCCTAGTATAACTCAGCCCTAGGTGTTAAATTACATGTTTCAGGGTGTAATAATGTGTACAGTGTGTTCGCAATATCAGAAATGTCTTGTGCATAAAAGACTGAATTACCTTCCAGAAGTTGTCGACCTTGCCGTAGACTAATGACTGGTTCTGCCTTTTGATGTCATCAATGTGCCTGATGTCGCTGGCGTTGAGGTGCTGCTCCACCACGAAGCCCAGGAAACTGTTGTCTGGGGTGTGAGCTGTGGCAAAATAAGCAAATAAAAATATATAAATACATACAAACATACACAACTCATATGAATATCAGTGCATGCCTCTAACAGATTACGAGTTAAAAGCTCTCAAAGGCCTCCTTTCATCATCAACATGATGCATGCAAATGTGTTTCTGCAAAACAAAAAGGAAAGAGGTGAAAAAAAGTCAGTGTTCATGTCTTTGGGAATAAAATGACAAATGACTTCAGGCAGTTTTCCTCATCTTAATTTATGCATTACTGAGGCAAAAACAAAACTGCCTTCAATGCGTCTTACACACGTCGTCTGGGTACAATTCAGTTGAATAAATAAGCCCATTTCAATGCCAGCATTTAGCACTGATCATAATTCCACAGAGAGAGACACAACTCGCCGAGCGCTCTGGGTTTTTGTTCCCTCGATTCCTTATTGCCCGGTGATGACTAGTTACTATGGGAACAACAAGATGAGCAGGTCAAGTGTAGAGCCTGGAGCTGGCAGCTCTTTACCTCACTGCCATCTGCCTTGTAAAACAAATGTAAAGACAAGTGTCTGGAGTGTGGGCAGAGAAGATTCAGTCCAACACTGAATATGCTTAATAATCTAATTGAGGAATAGTACGAGCAGACTGAAATACAGACCTCACCACCCCCTTAAGAGAGTGAAAACAGGCTGTGCGGTGTTGTGGTGCACAGTTTGTGGTTTGTGTTGGAGCCCCGGGGGAGCTGCTGTGGTCAGAGCTCGTTTTTTACGACAACACTATTACTACAGAGGCAAATTAAGGTCAGTCAGTCATGGGAGATGGAACTGGCTTCAGTATAGTAAATACAAAAAAAGGACTTATTGAGAATTTAAGCAAAGAATCTTAACATGAAGATACCTGCCAGCATTCAAACAAGTCAGACCCAACTCCTTCAAATATCCTCAGAATTAATCCCACCTTGTGTAAAAAGACGGGTGGATCATCATCAATCATGACACTGAGCACATGAAGACAGGGACACAGCTGCTGTATCATGATATGACTGCAGGAGATAGCAGCAGAAACAATGACGTACTCTAATAGTTCGGCTGTGCTGCAGCAGTTTCACAAATAGTGTTGACGTGTTTTTATCAGGGTGTTGGCTGGAATGGGACATTTTCTCCCACTCGACAAAAAGCCAATGTTTGTTCACTTGATCTCTCCAGGCAGTAAAAAAAAAAAAAAAAAAAACAGGGAGCAGAAAATGCAGAGCAAATGAGCCCAGCAGCAGACGAAGCAATTATTGAAAAATGACAAAAATGTGTCGACTTATATATAACCATAAAAAGGGCACCAACAAAAGTCAAGCATAAATCAAGCTCCATCAAACTAGTGGAATGTTTGTTGGATACTTATCACAGGTTGCTTCATACGTCACACATCAAACTTTCCTCTCAGTGTCCTGATGAGACATGCCAGCTACGATATATTGTGATATAGTGTGCAGTTCTTACTCTGGGCAAAGAGCCAGACACTGAGAGTGTTACACTATCTCTTATTCACACCGCATGTGATTACATGTCTCAGGGTTGCAACCTTCATCCAATTCCTAATCTCCTGTATTCAAATCCTGTTCCTGTTCTGCACTTCCCCAGCATAACAATGCACAGAGGAACCTTTCACCGCCTGAGCGCTGTGAGTTCATTTTGTGCTATGTGTGTGGGAGAGCACAGGAATGTGGGAGCAGATGTGATGAAGATATCACCAGATCTGCGTGAGGTGTCACTGTGGTGTAATGAAGTCTGAGCTGAGTTGGTGTTAAATAACGATATAAAAGCAACAAGAAGGCGCCAGTACGAAACCTCAGGTGGCTCCTCGTAATAACTGAGATGTATTTCTAATGGCAAAGAGGGAGAGATGGTCCTCGGCACTGGGAGGAGGCAGCACAAACACTCATGTACCAAACTAACTGTGTAAACAGGACAGGCTGTTAATTAGTGTTAGGCCCTCTTGATGCATTTGGCAACAGATGCCTCCTTTCCCACTAGAGCCGCCACTCAAAATGTCACTCAACTTGCCACAGCTTCATTTGCTATTAGCTAACAAACAGCCCGGGAGGACAGCATTGCCGGAGAAGCAGCTGCTTTGTCGCTCTTGACAAACTTGTGAATTGGGGGGAACAAAGTTGCAACGTAAGCTAGCTGGGGTTCACTCTGTTAGAATGGGAGTCAATATTGGAACAACCTGGCCGAGCTAAGTGAAGGAGCGGGGTGAAGAGAAGTCGGTTACTCTCTTAAGGGCAGGATATCTTCTTTGACAGGGTGAGAGGGGCTGTTCAGGGGCTTCCTTTGTGCCCTTTAAAAGGAGCAGGAAAGTCTAACTGAATCAGCAACAGAGGCAAACCATACTACATTATCACACAGTGGCTCCTGCACCAGGCAAAAGTAATCCCAAATCAGAGACTATGTATTATGTGATTAATGCCGGACCAACACTTGAGTATGCAGGCTCATTTTTACAAGAACTTCTCCACTGCTGGCCACACAGAGAAAAAAAGATTTCAAACTGCATCATCAGCACTAAAATCTTCAGCATTCTGAAAACTCATCAAAGACTGTGTGGTTCGACAGCTTATCTGAATGGGCCTGAAGGATGAAAATACAAGAACTAAACCTGAAATGCTTTCACACCAACAGCTTTGAGATTTAACTGGTGAGCTCTTTGAGGATGTACCAGGTTGCTAACAGTGCTGCCAGCATCACAATGATGAAAAATGTACTTAAACTCAAATTAAATGTCCATTGTGTGGGATTTTGGGGGATATATTGTGAGAAATACTAATAAGTATGTATAAATAAGTATTTTCTTTAGTGTATAATCACCTGAAAATAAAAATTGCTGTGCTTTTATAACCTTAGAATGAGCTGTTTATACATAGGGAGCAGATCGCCATGTTGCATCACCATTTTTCTACAGTAGCCCAAAATGTACAAACCAAACACTGGCTCTAGATGGGGCCATTAGCTTTTCAGGTCAGCCACCGTAGTTCGCAGCCCATCTGCTACAACGGTGTCAGAAAAACACAGATTTTCTTTTACATGAAACTGCTTTAACTCAGTGTTTTAACCAGTTAAAATCTTCTGTTTGGTTTGTTTTAGGAAGGAGTAGACCTCTGCAAATAATTTGCCTCCTGGTAAAAACCTCCTCAACACTGAAGGAATCTAACTGGGAGAAGTTTCAACTGGTTGCAATCTGCAATCCTCACTCCTAGATGCCACTAAATCCCCCTAAATCTTACACACTGTTCCTTTAATTCACTCTACATTTGAATTACCACAACAACACGAGTCTGAAAGCACATCCACAGCAAGAATAAATAACTCACTTAACAGACAATTAGCAATCAATAGCAAGCTATAGATGCTCTTTGATTTTCACTTATGTTGTCCATATTTCATAGTCTGAGGACAAACAAAGCAAATGCACTTGGCCCTGTTTTATGCACCGACAAATACCCACATGTTTAAGTTGCTTTGATCATTTAAAAAATTGAGATATTAACAGGTAAAGTCTTTTTAAAAAGTGGATGACCTTCTTTAAATGAGGCTTCTTATAATGCTAATTAGCTACGGTGCAGCAAACTACATTTAATGTTGGTGTATTAAACCGCCCACGCTCAGTGAATACATTGAAAAAAAAAAACAAAAAAAAAAAACACGTACTGGAATAAAAAGTAGTGGTATTGTATTCATGTACAGAGACCGACAGCATTTCTGGACTTCGCTGTTAGAGCTTTCTGCAACACTTCCATTATGCTAATCCACTGCAATCAATCAAAGCGAGCATCTGAAAAGGTTTCGACTGAAAGAGGGTAGGAACATAGTGAGAGGTGCTCAATTACAGCAAAATAACGTCCTCAATGTTCTCCCCCGCTGGCATCACTGAACAGACGCAGGCAAGTGTTCAAGGGTCAGATGTTCTTTTCTGGCACTAATGTTTCATTACAAAATGCTGTAAATCCAAGTGAGTATAGAGATATGCAGAGAACAGGTAGGGCGACATCTTGGCAGCCATTCGTCTGCGTTTTAACTTCTGATAAGAGGTGTCAAACTACTTCATTCTCAACAAATTCTTCCTCGCTGTCTGGAAATGATGAAAAACAAGAACACATTTTTGTGGTTTAAGGTGTAAAAAGTATATTTAGGCTTTGGACAGTAAGTAAGGCATGTGAGAGACAGTCAGAGACACCAGCGTATTGATCCCACACAGATGGAAAATAAAGATAACCTTTAGTGAGTGGGTGTGCCAGCGACATTATCAATCAAAGCTTTACAGGCACTATCAGCGTGGCAGATCTCAGGGTCAATTACGTAGTTGGCAATGCCTCAAAGATAAATACTATCTGCTGTTATGCTCGACCTCTGACCGGTATTAATCATCATTTCTGGAAGGGATTAAGCATTCAACTGCAGGGACACACACAGGAGAACTGCGGCGAGGGTTTACGAGAAACCTGGTTTACAAAGCTGATTTGTTGGCCGTGCATATATCTTTGCGACTGTAGGGATTAAAGGAAGGATCATTATTCAAAGTCATCCTTGATTGTAGAATAATTTGATAAAAAGTCTGGATATATCCCTCTGTAGCCAGGTTTATATCTCATAGCAAAGTCCTTTGTAACAAACCCGTTTTAAGCTGATGAGGTGCATAGAAAAGAAATTAAATTTGGCAGGACTTCAATCCTTGCATGTCACTCTTAGGAGAGGTTAACTTAATTATATTTGCAGGTATTCAGCTCTCCTGATTATAAATGGCTTGTGCTAGGAAACAGAGCCAACATAACGAAGACGCGCAGCCCATTCAAACACAAATTGTACACCAGAAAACACTCCCTTCTATCCAGACTCTGAAATAGATTAATGAGGTCAATTTGGCTGTGTCTTGTCTTATTGGCCAGGAGCCAGATACTCCCAATTCCCCCAACCAATGATTTATAGAGCACTGCCTAATCGTAACAAATGGGCCAATCCAAATCCAGGATAGATTACCTACTTGCACCTGATTTGCCCATTGTTACATCTACATTCAGTGGGTGACTTATAATACAATTCAACCACCAGGGGATCCTATTTATATAAGGTAAATTCTTTAATATGTTTTGAGCATGCTTGCAGCACCAGACTGATGAGGTAAATGTGAGGTAGCTCCTAGACAACTAAATTTAGGAGTAACTTCTGAAATGTACTCAAGGATTCAGCTCCACCCATTGTAAATCCAAGCTGACACAAGCACCTGCTCAGACATAAACACAACTGGCTCCAAGTACAAATATTATGTGTGCACGGTGTGATACAATTACAAACCTCAGATACCTACTTCATCATCCTTCGAGGTGTTAATGTGTGAGACTGTCTGAGGAGTAAAATGCTACTCTTTAGCTTGAGGGTAAGGTGTTGCACAGCACAATGCAGAGAGGGGAGAAAACTTTATAGTCTCTCGTGCCTGGAAGTGATGCCATTCTGTGGTTTTAACACTCAGCCAAACCTCTGTGCACTTGTTTCACCAGCGATATCATCTAACCTAGCGATTCTTAACTGGATTTTGTGCAAGGGCCCCAGTGTGTTATGAGAAAGACATACCCTATTCAGCGGACAAAGGGCCTATTCAGGTGCAGTGGCATTCTGGAGAGCTCCAGGCCTCACCTCGCAAACGGGGACTGCGGGGGTAACATTTCACTTTCTCTTAGCCATGGGGAAAAGGTCAATACCCCGGGGGGGGGGAGACTGGCTCCGCTCTCTCTCTCTCCTCTGCTGCACCATCCACCTCAGCAAATGTGGTTGACTCCAGTTACAGCGTGATTTCACAGTAGGAGGATGCACACACAGAGAGCAATAAAACCCCTACGTCCTACATTCATAATCACAGTAAAATGGAGAGTGTCTGACCTCTTACTTTCCTTTAATCTGCTTGATGATATTCCATTAGCAATGCCCTGGATTTTCTTTTATGCCTCTTTTCCAACCAAAACAGCTCATTCATAGCAGAAAATCTAACCGGAACTGTGGATATAGGAAACAGCTACGGGTGTAATGATCATGAAAACTGATTTATACTGCAAGTAGCAGAGTTTGGCAACTTGACCTTATTTAAACAACAGAGTGGGGAACTTGCTGAAGTAAAATATGCAAGAGCTATGTAGAGAAGAAAGCCAGCCTCCACCACAACATACTTGAAGAATTTTGTATTTTGGACGGATCAGGGATCTTTGTGCATTCCTAACTTGTTGACTCAGAGGACGGATCAACCAGCAAAGTTCTCTGTGCTGGTTTTCATTACATAAACTGTGGTAAACACATTTTAAATCCTGCACTCAGGCTATAACTGAGCCAAATGGCCTTTTTTTTTTTTTTTTTTTTTTTAATACTACAGCTAAATCTTACTAGTCCGTTCGTGATGGTTGGCAGATGCACATTTGGTTAGAGTGTGTGTTTTTGCATGTTGGCGTGCTGCCGACTTACGGAACATGGTGTTGAACTGCTGCGGGTTGAGGTTCCACTTCCCCCAGGGTGTCTTGTGACCCTTGGACTGTGCGTAGTGGGCGTGGTTGAACTCTGGTTCCGTCCCAAACGAATCCAGCACCCGCAGCATGCACCTGTAACATCACACAAAGACATGTGTTAATGGCTGAGGCACAGATGCATGTTTATACTGCTTAACATTAACATAACAGTGGATATTTGCTTTGCATCTTGTGAAATCAATGAAACCCATAAACACCATTATAAATCATCTCTGTGCAAACACACTCAGACTTGTTATCATGTACTTAAAAACAGTTCACACCTTGTGCGCACACCTACAGTGGAGCTGAAGTAAACCACTACACAGTGCTTTTCCACAGTATTCTCCAAGTGACCTTCACTCTTCACAGGACGGTAAAATAAGTAAGGGCTGGCTGAGAGTACTGGCAACAGAAACGGCAGATGGCATCACCGTTCAAAGTAAAAATGTTAACTTTTTGCCGTCCTCCACCCCACAATTTACAACAGGATGTTATGTTGCTTCTTCATACTTATTTAACATATTTTATTCCATTCCTAGCTAAATATGAATGTAGGCTACAGGAAGTCTTTATTTATACATGTTATTTTGGTGTGTCGTGTAATCCCATGTGGCCTGGAGCGTTTCAGTGGTATCAAACAAAACAAAACAAAAACATGAATTCATTCCCTTTTTTGCGTATCTGTAGCATTCATGTTAAAGGAATAAAATCTGAGTTAATACACTGTAAAAATGTCTTTCATTATATGTGCAGTGACACAAAAATCATAACATATACACAATATAAAAAAGCAGGATAGCGAAAGCACCCAAACAATGCCTCCACTCTCAGACAGGGAGAAAGTGAAATCCCATCCTGTGGAGGTGTGAGACTGTGAATGAACATCACGGCTGACTCAAAGGTCACAGCACAGGATTAATTAGACCACAACCAGGAGAAGGAATGGTGTATATATGCAGGGAGCCGCTCGCTCATGACCTTAAACTGCATGCTCTGCATTCACTAACTCGCTCATTGTTACTCACTTCTAGATTACATCCGGTCTGTCTCGTCCTTTGCTATCTACTTTTTCAATTCAGAAGGGAAAGGGCCATTAAAAGAAAGGAAAGCTAATTCCAATCTGTTGACTTGGCCATGCATTTCTAAATCAATCTCACCCTATTAATCAAATCTTTTTCACTGATTTTTTTCCTTTGACAAAATCCTAAAACAATGAGAATTTTTTTAATGGCCATCTGAGCCCAAGATCAGTTTTGTGGGTGGATAAAAGGAAGTGACTCCCGCTTTGGGTGAAGGTAAAATACTCAGCATTAATCATAAAGTGACAGGAAGAAGCCAGGTGTAAGCAGACTTGCATGCATATACACACTCAGTGTCACACATATAAACATCTGCAGCTAAAAATCCCCCCTCTCTCTCCCAGTGATCATCCCTCCGCCCGGGCAGATGCTGTGCAGCTGGCTACATGAACTGTGAAAGGCCCTGGGAGAGTATAGAGCTGGGAAACACATTCACCACGAGGAAACTTTAGACTGAAAGCAGAACAACAACAACAACATGCCCACATGCCATCTCCACTCGCTCTGGAGAAAAACAACCCTCATCTGTCCCCGGTAGATCTGTCCTCAACAGATGGGGAAGCGCTGCTGGAGCTATAACGTGATGTAAATATGGCTGCAGCGAGGCTTTCAGCACATATCCCGAGTCCGCTGAGTTGACAGTGGGCGTCATAATGTGGCAAGAGTTGAGGCTGTTCAGCTCAACAAGTACGCACTTAGTAACACTTGCTGTAATATCCAAACCGAGCCGGGCCGAGTGCGGATGTTGTTGTCAAAGTAGAAGTGTAATTTCACTATAATGTAATACACCTAAAGTGATCCCAAATGGGTAATGTATAACAACAGCTGTTGTAAATGATAGCTTTCTCTCCTGCCATGATTATCTCCCATGTGAAACAGGCAATAAATAAAATGCTCCCATATGGGTCATTAGGAAATAGAGATATCAGATAGGGATTTTTGCTTCACATGAAGCTACCTGAGGGTGTGTTATATGTCTCTATAGCCCCAAGGCCAAACTCAACAGCTGCATGACAAACAGACATATCACTTAATCACATGTCTTATAAAAGCATTAAGCTGAGCAGGGTTTGGTTAAAAAAAATTTCAAGGACGCCACAGAACGCGGCATGTTACTGATTATCTTACTGCGATTGTCATCCAGCTAATAACATCTGATTGTTTTCAGATGTTCTAATGGACCACAAGTATTCACTTTTATTGACAATGTGCTCCACCTAACAGACTTAAACCTCAATTGTTATCCTTTATAACTATTATTAAGCAATAAATTAACACCTATGATATAAAACTGTTGACACGCTTACTTTCTCCTTTGAACATGAGTATTTAATCAACCTCCCCTGAACCAGACGCCTTCAGCAACATTAATGGCAAACATTAGCATGGCTGGCTAACTGGTAGTAACCTCACATCACTTCCAAGAGTACATCATAGTTTGTTTTACTTTGCTCCTCTCCACTCCTAAAACCCCGGCAAAACAACTATGTTGGCATGGCTACGCATCAGTGCGGACTTAAATTAACATTAAATCGGACATTTCTTTGATAAGGATGTCAAATCTTTGTTAACAAGTATTTTATACGTGGCTAAAAAGTGCATCTTGCTCCAATGGTCTGCTACACAGGTCCCCAAGGTTGACATGTGGTTATCACAGATATCAGCTGTGTTTACTCTGGAGAAACTGACTTGTGACCTCAAATATAAATCACACAGAGTTCTGGCAACTTTGAGGACACTTCTTACACTTTTTCCTCCAAAAACTCTGACTTGCTTATCCCTGGAGGGCAGTAACTGATTGCTCCATCTGTTGATGTCAATAACACTTTGCTGTACAATCTTTTTTTTCTTACAAAATGTATTAGCTCATTCATTCTTAGTCGTAATATACTGCAGCCTTTGTTCTTTTGGGGTTTTTTTTGTTGAATATTCTTTTCTACACTCATCTGTCTTGTCTGTCTTCAGACGAGGGAGCTACGCTACTTTTATAATCATCAATTATTAAAATAATCTTTTTAAAAAAAAAAGTACGATAGCTATTAAGCTGTCATGGATGTGCATCAGGATGGCAAATGGCTGACCAGTAGTGAGTGAGATCCACACTGCAGCACCACCATAGTCGCCAGGCAAGAAGCGACCGACAAACAAAGCGAACACAAGTAATTCTCAGTCCAGTTGTACCGTCCTCTCCAATATGCAGTGAATGTTCTTTGGGGTTTTAACTCATATGTTGTTTTAGGACTGACCGCAATTTCATCTATCAAACAAACAAGCCTGCCAGTGTGTGCTCATGCGGCACGCTCTACTCATACGAAGGCAGACACAGGCAGAGCAGAGGGACGTGTCGGAGAGCAGAGCAGACATAGTAACATAGAATGTAATTTAATACCTCAAAGTGCAATATAGCAGTCTTTCACAATGACAAAATAACAATATGTGGTGCAGCTCTCACTTTTACATGTTGCCACTAAGTGATTTGCAACCCACACCAAGCCAGTTACTGCCTGCACCACAAAGTTCTCAACACTGTGGATGAATGAAAGTCAGTGGCATGAATCACACCCCCATATACACACACACCAGCAATACATACAGACAGTGTTGTGTCAAAACAAAGTGTCTGGCAGAAGACAGTGAGGAAGTGACAAAGGAAAATGGAAGTCAGACGAGAAATGATGAAATCAAACTTGTGGAACACACGCAGCTGATGACTAACTCGTCACATGTCCAGTTTCATTTCTGTGTTTTTGCCGTCAACACCAAATCTGGAACTGGTACACACTGGCACAATTTCTGCAGCCTCGACGATGCAGATCAAAGTGCATTGCCCGATTCAGTTATTGGATGAAAGGATTAAATGAAATAGAACAATAGGGCAACATTGGTTCTGGTTTATACCCAGAGAACAACAGCTCAGAGCATTCCCATTCCTCCAGAGTAGTATGTAACACAGCGATACAGCACTGTAAGACAGATAGCCAGAAGACTGGGGCAATAACAAAACACATTAATCACTAACGGGCCTGACAGACTTGGTTGCTTTGTCCCCAAACACAAAGAATAAACCAGAGAGAAGGGAACAATAATGACACAGTTTATTGCTCGCAAGGATTTGGGGTCTGATATGCAAACAAATCTGGCATGTTCTGTCCATGGGATCTCTCTCTCCCTCACTTCTTGCGTGACATATAAAGTCAAGAGAAGATGGTTTCACAAAGGGAGTCCCAGGCCACAAAGGCAAAGATGTAATTCACTAACAGGAGACAGCAAAGTAAAAAGACACTCTGGCAGAAAGGCGATGCGGGGAAACAGAATAGGTTACATTTAGCAGAAGAAGAAAGAGCACGGAAAAATGTGCCAACCTATAGTCTAGGTCTTGTTTCACAAAGCACGGTGACATTAAGTGCTTTGACATAAGTGTTCAATAATGGTAGGAGAAATAATGCAGAAAACAGCATCTGGACCTTACATTACGCCTGAGGCCGAATCAATTTCCTCGGGGTACAAAGGGAGCGGATGCAGTTTAAGGTGTTATGTCGCAGACAAACAAAACCTGGTGACAAGCAGGAGGAACCAGCGGGGCCATTAGTGCCCCAGACTTATTGTTCCTTCTCTTTTCCTGTCAGTCGGAGCTGATGAGAGCTTTTTCAAAACAAACCGGGAAGGCCTCGTCTACGGTCCTCAGCGGAGCAATCGGAGAAAGAATAGATTCAAAACCTTGCGAACAACTGACGGCCTTTGGGGAGATTGTGGTAATGTATGAGCAGAAAATAGACTCATTGTGCTGGCAAGTGCCAGACAAGCCTCAACCCAATGCCCTTTGCATATGTGAGAGAGGCTGTGAAACAACAGTTGGCAGTGGCAGCATAAGGTTAAAGGAATCTACAAATTACTGAATTCATTTGGAGATAATGGAAACAGTGTGGCCTTACTCACACATTTACAGTTCAAGGTAAATTACCCGTCAATGGCTCAACCCATTGTACACGTTTCCCGCACACTGCAGACAAGAACCCAAACTGCAGAGAACTGTGCGTCCATCACTCACAGTCACCAGCTGGTAGATCCATATAAATGTACTTACTGGTAGTGGACCCAGGAGGGTCCCAGCGTCTTCTTAAACTGGGTGAGGCCCACAATGTCAATGTAGATAAGCTCAACCACTTTGTCACCCTGGGTTGGGCAACTGGACTTGTTCCCCATGACCTTGCGCATGATCCTGGGAAGAAAATTCGGATTGAAATAAACTTTCATCATTCAAAATGTTAGCGTGCTGCTGCTGCTGCTGGTAATAAAGCTGGGAGAAACACTCCGGGAAGATCATTTTGTTCACTCTAATACCACATGAAAATTTTAGACGTTTGGATAGAAATATTTTAAAACTAAACAATGCATTTAGACAGAAAAATCCCAAGTCCAGTGGTGACGTCTTTGTCTGATGCAATTTTCAAGACGTACTAGTATTTCCAAGGACAGACCTCTGGATATTTGTTGAATTCAGGTATAGAGATCATACATACAGTGCAGGTTTAAAGCAAACATGGGATAAACCTGTTCCCAAACTGAATGTTTCACTTGCATATCTGATAGAAGTACCAATTTAAAAATTTAAAAAGGTAGAGATACTGTAGCGAAGATTCTTAGTCGGCTCAGCTGCCCACACAGTAATGTATCCATGTCAAACAGTATGCACCCACTGGACAAGGTGTGTCAGCTTGCCTGTTTGAGCTTAAAGTTTGTAGTTGGCTTACAGACATTTGTGTACCACAGTCAAATAAACTTAAACAAATACAGAGAGGTTGTTGGTTTACCTACATGTAAAGAAACGTGCCAATCAAAATGTGCTTTGACTTTAGGTTACCCAGGGTTGGATTATAAAGCACAGATGCAGCAAATTTGATACAAAACTGTTGTTTCTCCCTCCCAAATACTATAATATCTGACCTAAAGCATCTGTTGTGCAGACTTACACTGGACACACAACAATCAGTATTATTGGCTTAGGCTGTTTGGCTCAAAAGAGCATCCCACTGATGTCACATAGAATGACCTTTGTTGACTGAGACTAGGGAAAACTAATCAAGGTGGGATCTTTTGAAATTAAGCATGTGTGTCTCTTGCAGTGCAGTCCAACTCAGAGCAAGCAGGTGGAGTATATGACAGGTGTGTTTTCTTAACATACAGTATTAACTTAAGGATTATCATAGTGCTCGTGTGTTTGCTACTGACTCTTTGAGCTCAGCCAGGGAGGCGGAGATGCGAACATCATGTCCCAGCAGGTACAGCGTGGTTATGAGATCGCTCCATTGGACCAGCTCGCCCAACGGGCCACCACTGAAGGCATTTTCTGCTATTTTGAAGCCTGACTCCTTGGTCAGCAGGCCCAAGTGCACAAGGATCTGATTGGAGAGAAAAGGCATGCAATAAAATGAGTTAATTATTCATGCAGTGTAGAATTTACACTCCAGATGAACAGTTGTCACGAAAATCCAAGACAGACACACAAACGGACAAAGACTCCTTCCATTTTAGCTAGTTTTAAACATTGTTTTTAATACCACAGTTTTACAGTTGGCCCTTCTGTACATTATTGTGTGAATAATTCAAGGAGAACACTTAATAAGAATGCTGTATACCTGATGAGGGTGTCTATGAGATTGTCTCATCAAGGCTAGTGCGGCACAAGCTAGCTTGAAAAGAGCCACACTTACAGAGCCTTAATGAGCATGAATGTATAATGTAAGCAAGCTAAACGAGATCTGTGACATCTGGATGCCCTTTCTTTCTTTCCTACGCAGATTAATGTAGAAAAATAACATTGAAACTGCTTACAGAAAAATGGTGACAAATAATTCAAAGACACCCCACTGGTTTCCTATTGGAAAAGATTTAAATTGAGAGTGTAAAAAACATGTTTATCCCAGTAGGAGACTGTGAAAGCAATTACACTTTGTCCCTGTATGCTGTCAGGTGCACAGTGCACATGCTGAGAAAAGCACATGCAAGTTACACTTACACACACACACACATACATACACACACACACACACACACACACACACACACAGAGGATGGTTTTCAGTTGCTGAGGGGAACAGAGTGTTCCACAGCAGGAGTAGGAAGTAATAGCAGGCTTTGTTTGAAGTGACCGACACATTTTTCATTGTTGACAGCCAGCCCCAAAACACACCAGTCAAGGATTAATAGTGCGGATTAATATCCAAAAGAGATTAGCGGCTGAAATAAAGAGCTGGCTTTGAAAGTATCTGGAGAAAAAAACATTCTTTGTTTAATTATAGACTGAATAGATTAAACTGACACACAGAAAAGGAAGGAAGGATAAGTCAGACACTATAGATGGATGGATAGATGGATAAATGCTTGTTGCTTGCACACTCTGCTTTGTTAAAGGGGATGCTGCTTTGCATCAGCACCAAGGTATCACGGGAATGTGATGTGAATTATTCACAAGGCCAGTGGAAAGTGTGGAGTACATTATTCAGTGCTGAGAGCTGCTAACAGCTTGGGACACAATGGAATATCCATGTCAGTCCTTTCCCACCACCATTTCTTCCCTAAGCAAAAGCAGGGCGGTACTATATGTCAGTGTGTGTGTGCATACCTGCCTGGTGTCTGTATTTCAACAGGCTGAAAGCTGAGGGGTGGTGTTTTCCAAAAGTTTTTGAGAGGTAAACATTAAATTTTGAGCTAATGGCTTGATTAAAATTCAGTTGTGGTATTTTTTATGGGAGCAAAGTGAATTTGGAATATCTATGTGCACCTGTTTCTGTGGGTGTGTGTGTGTGTGTGTCTGTTGGCTGGTTAAATTAATAATGTGTGACAAGTTTATATGGTATTCTGTCTCCAGCTGATGTGTTAATTACACCTGCAGTATATCCAGCTCACAAAAGCTTCTCATTCAATATTCTTAACGCCGTCTAGTCAGTCTGTCTCGCTTGATTTCTCCAGTGTACTACGATGCGCTGCATGTCATGCCTACCTTCTTCCTCCGACGCCTGGCCAGGTTCTGCTTGGCAGCCAGCGAGCGGATGGCGCTGACCCACGGCTCAGCCATGCGTTTGATCCTCAGCATCATCCAGCGGAACTCCTCGCGCTGTGACATCACACGGTAAAGCTCTTCGAAACTGGTCCGGACCTCCGCCTGTAGACACAGCGTGAAACAGTTATACCAGCCTGTGTACATTTGCTCCTGCTGTACAGTATATACCAGATAATGTTAAGTGTAAGCTGTAAAGACACTGATTAGATTAGATTTCAGCACCTTACATTGGCAGACAGATTAAATATGTGGACGAATAAATGTTGAATGTTTAATATGCTTCACCATTTGTCAGTCTCTATGTGTCCTATTTGTCCAAGAAATCTCTCTGTAATCACTGACGCCTGAATTCGAGTGATTCTGCTGAGGTGATAATAACCATCATAAACTGTCACAGACATCTGCAGAGGAAATTATTTATTGAGGGCACACAAACAAGTGCGCATGTTTGAGTTCTCTCCTGAGAGCAAAGTATCAAACAAACCTTAATATAAATCTTTGGAGTAAAAACTGTGAGGAAAAAATACTGCACTCAGAGAGGCTGTTTTTATGGTGACAGAACAACAAACACTGGAGCATTCAGAGTGCAGAGCCCTCTGTGTTACGAGCAAACGTGAACTGTGGCTGTGTAGTCTGAAAGGAGTGAATACATCAGTCATACCTTTTATAGCTCATTTATAAGAGGGCTTTAGAGAGGAGAGGAGAGGAGAGGAGAGGAGAGGAGAGGAGAGGAGATGAGAAAGGAAACACAAGGACTTTTTTAAAATCAGAAACAGCAGGAGCCATTAATGCACATTATGTCTATAAGTTTATTTATTGAAGGAAGCTGTCAAGGAAAACCAGTGAAGCTGTAATCATCTATGTGTTGCACCTTGCCCATTCTGTGTTCCAAGAATGGTGACTAACTAGACATCAAGGTGATGTCATACAAAATAAGGAAATGAAACCGAGGCAACTGTCAGCCACATTCCCAGAATATGCTGAATCACATTACACTGTAATTTAACTCATCTGAATACATCAACACTTTTCATTTGTGCTTTTCCAGATATGGAATCTCAAAGAACAGCCTAAGAGGAAGAAAGAGAAGGCGTGAATGAGACAGAGCTGGTCAGAGGAAGACAGAGTGAAAGAGGCAGAAACCACAGTGCCATTACCAGCTGCTAAGGTGGCTGAAACAAGGCTGTTGCAGGGCATTAGCATCCCTCATCACGACAGGAAATCACTTCCACAGACTGAACCTATTAAAATCTGGGCCTGAATTAAAATCTCCAAAGCCTGTCAAATGGCATCTCCCCACCACAGAGGGCTCAGAGCTGTTGATGCATCCAGAGAGGGGATGAAGAGTACTTAATATTGATTCACCCGCAGCAGAGGGAAGGGGGTGTGTTTGCGAAGAGCGCTGATACTGTGGGCTGCGCACGAGCCCGACGGCCCGGAGAGGCGCTCTAAGTGGGATTTGAGTGAGCTGGTGCATTGGCAGGGATAGAAGATCATTATTCCAGATTTGTCCCAAGGTCCCGTCACTCTGGCTTTGGTCTACGAGAACTGCTCTGCTCTTTTATGCTTTTGAGGCATGTTGACACTGTGGATCAGCCTCAGCCTGCTCGTTCATTTACTGCCTTGTTTTAAACTATGATCACAGACACTGCAGGGGGAATTACCTCGCTCACTTTACTGCCATTTTGGTACGTTTTAAACAAATACGTACTAAAAACCCATATTAGTGTGAGTGTTTCTTAAAATTAAACATCCCATTAAACGGCTTTGAGTGTCACTCTCCTCTGTGGTGTCAGGATGATGGAGTGGGACTTAACATCGAGAAGGACTCAGTTTAAAAATTTATGCTAATGGAAAAACTTGCTGTCACAAAGTCTGGAGTTGCCTCACACACACATACAAGCCTCTTTGGAATTAATACATTCAAGCCACTTGGACCACAACTGTTACACTTAAAATGTAATCTGACACTCAAACACATCCAGATAACCATTTTCTCTCGTCGGGGTGCCAAGTGAACTTATAGTGTAATAGTGCGGCGAGACTGTTGGCTGTCTTGCTACAGGCAACATCTTAAGATGAGTGCTCATCTCCGAAGAGCAGCTGAGCTGCATGATGTGTTTCTCACCTGTCCCCTCCTGTCTATTTCGTCATTCAGGTTCTTTGTCCTCCAGGGCAGGCGTGGGCACCAGTTCTCAACCTGACAAAACAAAACAAAACAAAAAAAGGTTTCAGTTTATTGGAAACAAATACACTGCTCAAAAAACTACAGGAACACTTTATTTACACATCAGATCTTGATGAACAAAGATGTACATTATATAACATTATAAAATCATTAACCCACTGAGGGCTGGATCCAAAAATCACAACGAAAATCAAAGTAAATAAATGAAATCATAGGCTGATCCAACTTGTATGACTTTATCATAGCAACTCATCATGTGACTCAGCAGTGTGTATGGCTGCTGCATGCCTGTATGCACTCCCGACAACATCTGGGCATGCTCCTGATGTGTTGGCAGATGGTAACCTAGGGGATCTCCTCCCAGAACTAGCGTGAGATGCACCGATACATAACATCCCATAGGTGCTCAATTAGACTGAGGTCAGGGGAATGACAGGGCCAGTCAATGGCACCAATGCCTTCATCATCCAGGAACTGCCTACACACTCTGGCCACATGAGGCCGGGCATTGTCCTGCACCAGGAGGAACCCAGGGCCCACTGCACAAGCTTAAGGGCTGACAATCACTCTGAGTCAGGGTACCGTTGACTATTAAATAAATGTCTGCGCGACCCTCCAAGGATCTGCCTCCCCAGACCATCACTGACCCACTGCCAAACCGGTCATGCTGGATGATGTTACAGGCAGCATAATGTTCACCATCTCTAGACTCTTTCACGTCTGTCACGTGTGCTCAGTGTGATCCTGCTCCCGTCTGTGAAGAGAACAGGGCGCTAATGGCTGACCTGACAATTCTAATGTTGTCTGGTGAATGCCAATTGAGCTGCATGGTGCTGGGCTGAGAGAGTGCTGGGAGACACAGCAAACCATCCTGTGACCACATATATGATGTGCCATCCATGGAAGAGCAGGACTACTTGTGCAACCATATTGGGCTGCAGGAACCGCCTCATTCTACCAGTAGTGACAAGAACACAAAACTGGAGAACAATCAGTCACAGGGTAAGGAGAGAGCAACCATCTGTGGCCACCACATGCAAAACCATTCCCTCTTGCTTTCGCTTCTCCATTGCACCTGGTGGGCACAAATAATTGTGTTAATGATGTTTTTCAATTTAGCAGGGTATTTTTTAAGACTACAGATGTCACTGAGCAACAATCCATCTGATTTGCATCAAGAGGGGCGAAATTAGATCTGATCCCAGGCTGTTTTGACACGTGCTGCACATGTCTGGAGAGAAACGGAGCACAAAATAAACGGTTTTCTGCTGCTGACCTTGGATTATGGGCTGAAGACAAAACACCTTTGAAACTGTAATAGTGTATTCATGTCACTAAATGAAGGCATTGTGTACGGAAAATATTAGTTACAGCACAACAAAGAAATCAGTGGTTGAATGAGATGAATGAGAGATAAAATATCAGCACCTATATTATTGCTGTGAAAGGAAACTAAAGGATTGTGAGTGTTACTGTCACACTACTGCTGTTTTGTACCTGTTGTTGTGCTGAACAGAGAGCTATTCAGGCTGCATTCAGACTACAGGCAAATAAGATTTGGTTTTCAGATGTGATCTTAAAGACAGACTGTTCGGTAACAATATAGGCCTCAGCAACTATGTAGCCTCAACAGTGTCACAGCTTTCTCACTGTACTGACTTGGCTACAGGCTCAGTCCCTGTGTGTGTGTGTGTGTGTGTGTGTGTGTGTGTGTGTGTGTGTGTGTGTGTGTGTGATAAAACAGTGCTGCAGATGTGATGTGAGGTGATGTGATGTGATTTCCTTTGACCATTTAGCAGCTGAAGAAAGTAAAGTAAATATGCCTCGTGGACCTCTCCAAGCAAACAAAGGGTGAGTTATAAATGTCCACGCAAAACAAAAGGTGCAACTTCTAAGAACTACTTCTGTCTCTGCATTTCCTTCTTCTTGTATCAGGCATGATTGCTTTTGGACTGCAGACAGGAATATGGAGCAGTAGTGTTTCAGCAGCAAGAGACATGGTAGGTGTGTTTATACTCCTTCTCACACCACAACACACACACACACACACCATGCTAGTTGAGCCCTGACCTTCTGCGGCTGACATCCATCATCATATGTTGCCCTTTCCGATTTTCCTCTTTGCAAGGTTAATGTGGTGGTCGACAAGTATGAATTACATGTGGCAAAGGGTGTGTGTTTGAGCGTCTGTGTGTGTTCAAAAAAGGCGAGCCGCTGTGGATGGAGAGCAGCAAGATTCTAAATGGAAATACATGCAAATTGTCATGGCAACCATGACATCACATGACCAGGAGGCTGAGTGCTGGGAGATTAGCAGGATGGAAACACAGAGACATTTCGAATCTTTGCAGCTCTTCATAGGAAATGTTTGATCCCTGTGAAGTATCTAAAAACAGTGGACGGACATGAGCAGAAGGCGAGAAAGAAAAGGCTTCTCCCCCCTAATGGATTGTGCTGTTGTCCATCTAACTTCTATTTCCATACAGAGCAGGCCAGGCTGTCTGTGTGCCTTCTTAGTTCATTGCAATGCTTTCAGCTCATATGCAATATTCATAACAGGCTTCTGACCTCTCCAGAGCTGAAGCCATGACTGAAATCTTACTTTCTATAAACAAAACATCACACAATTGGACGAGGAAAAACTTGATTATCACTTGAATCAGCACTTGATGAAAATCAGGCTTTCCAGTGGAGAACTGGAAGAGACACTTTTAAGAATCTAAATCAAACAGAATGGTAATCATGGCTATGATCTATGAAGGATCTTTCAAATAATAAATCAGTTCTTATGGGAAGCAGAGCAGTTTTCTGGATCAGAGAATAAGAATGTTTAAAGAGTGTAAAACATTTTTGAAAAACAGCATCTCATGAGCACATGTTTTGTCTTCACATGGTGTTGCAAAGTGTAAAAACAAATCATTATCTGACAGACTCCCATTTATAGAATGAATGACTTTCACCACCAGAAATGGATTCTGGCCATGTTGACTAGTCTGGCAAAGATAAATCATGCAATATTAAAAGCCTCAAAGTGTCCCTTGAAGGAACACAAGCTTCTATATGTTAGTGCTCGTCAATAATGTACAACTCCTCCATGCTGGTCCGGCTGCTTTTGCCTGTTTGCCAAGGATATGTAGAGACGAAGGCAGGGGAGCAAAGTCCGTCTTCCTTTTGGAGGCTGAGAAGAACCCTCCCTCCCCACTGAATCATCTCCTCATTCTCCCACACTGTCCTATTCAACACACTCTAATTTGCTCTCATTAAAAATGAAATCCCCTCTACCTCTCTCCTTTGCTCTTATTTTTAGTGCTTCATTCTTATATGATCGTTCTCAGGTGACGGGAGTGTTGTCAGGGCTTTGAACCTTCCATTTTTCTGGGTTGTCTGTGCCAATACTGTATGCTGCAGCAATCCCAGCAATTACTCAACTCCTGTACTCACTGGAAGTTACTATGACAGGAGCAGGAGCTAAATTATTGAAATGTTCAATGCAAATGTCCCCAGTATAATTCCACTGATACAGCATTCATGAAGGTTAGTAGATGCATTTTACACTTAAGTTTAAGGCTACGTTTTACATTAAAGGCCAAAACCAACAATGACTGTGTCCTACTAACATGCAAATGTATTGAAACCGGATATCATCACTGTAATTTGTATATGGCAGTATGTAAATACTCCCCACCACTGCACTATTTCCTCCTGTTTGAGTGACATTTGCAAAAAAACACAGTTGCCGGCTGATTCAGGAAATTAAAAAGCCTTCATTCAAAAATAAACCATATATTTGAGACCTATCTTTAAAGACCCCCGACAGGTATTGAGAAACAGAGTAACACATTGTTGTTTTTGTTCTTGTCATGGGTTTTATTGACAATAATGAAAATGTAGAATATTGCCTGTCTCGTCCTTCAAAAGATAAACTATGTAAGATTTTCTTCGTGACTCATTTCTTAGAGACTCATTCAAAAGCAATTCCTCACAACAATCAGTTATAACTAGAAATGTGTTACCCTGCTCTTTGACGGTACTTTCTTCTTATGTTACTGTAGTCGCAACATTCCAGGGCACAGTGCGCAGGTGTGGTTGAGACTTTATAAGAAGGAAGTGACCAAGTGCCAGACAATAAGCAGCACAAGAGGAAGAAAGAAAAAATAGTGGACATGGTGCCAAAAAAATGCAAATATAACGAAGTAAAATGCCAAATAGACAAAGCTGGGGTTGGCTTTCACTTCTGGTGATACTGTTTCCAAACAGTAACCAACAATTCCTGCATAGTATACCTGTGAGTTTAGCAGATAAATTTCACGCAGGGAACATTTTTCTGTTTTTCCGTTAAAAACTGTTATTTTTCAACTGTTTGCATTCGTGCATTAATTTGCATTTTCCAGGATTTTGTGGAAATTCAGTTACAATTTGCATTACATTTAAATGGAAACTTGATTAGTGACTGCATCTCCTTTTACTAATCCTCCCTTAAAATATTTAAAACCCTTCTGTCAACATCAACAAATAAACCTTTAGAAGCCCATATCGCAATGTAGCTTAGTCCATGCTGATTTTGTTCCATGTAAGATAGGCGTATTAATTGCTGCGATCAGTCAAACTTTTCCCAGCTTAGTGGAGCCATTTATTGCGTTTTAGTTGTTGTATTACTTCAGCCTTTTTTGGGCACAAATACACTTGCAATTCCCTCAGAAACTCAAACACACATTTATAATTAACACATATACATGCACACATACCTCGCTGAGGTAGATGAAAAAGGAGCAGGTGGATCCATCCACGCCGTAGTTGCCGTAGCAGGAGTCTGAGCGCCACATCTCCCTCATCCACTGAGGAAGAGGAAAGAAGGGAAGATTAAATCTGGGCCCCACATGCATTCTCACCCAAATCACCCCCTCCACTCACTCAAACTTTAATATCTGTAAAATATGAGCCCACTGTGAGTTTATAGCAGCCAAATGTATTTTATCAGCAGCTGTTAAGTAACTTCAAACTGTCATTTAGAGCTTTTTCCATCCTAGTAATGGAGCTCTTTGGATGGGTACAAAAAAAAAGTCCAGTTGATGTTGCAGTTTACCAGCAACTGTGCTGTGTGGGCAGGTTGTGATGCTGAGGGAATGCATAATGCACAGTGGCAAAAGCTATAGCAGGAGCTGCCTATCTAGTTTTCACAACCCTCGTGGATATAGTCCAGGCTGTTTTTGTGGCTTGGAGGTTAGAGAAGCTGCAGGGTTGTAACTTAAAAGTCACTGGCTTCAATCCCTGAAATCAAATGGAAAAATCTGGGGTTTGAAAATAAAGGGAGAATATTTCCCTTTCATCAGATACATGTGCAAGTCATCCAGTGGAACTGCTCAGCGGCCAACAGGAAGAGAGGAAGGTTGTTCTGGGGAAGCTCTCATGTGTGAATGTGTGGAAATAAATCAATGTGAAAATGGTATTCTTGACTCAGACGGAAGAACATGCATCTTCAGTAAATCTTCCAAAAAAGAAGAACAGTAAAAAGTAAAGGGCAGGAGAAGAAGGAGCAGCAGTGTTTGGACAAATATTCCTCTATGTCCTCTCTTCTGACTAGATCCCTAGCAGGCAGATTTTTGTGGCACTGAATGACATGTGAAGATACATGTGAAGTGGAAGGGCTGTTGAGCTCAGATGTGGACTGACAGCAACCCTCCTTAGTTCGTAGGCTAGAGTACATCATGCATGCTGACTTACAGTAACCTAAGGGAGCAGCACAAGGGGAGATATAAAATCGAGTTTTCAAAGCTGTTCACAGAGGGGAGACCTGGCAGATGGGCTTGGATCAGAGTCACTTGGATGGCGAAGGCATGAAGATTGTACTATATTTGTTTAAATGGCAACCTAAGAGCTCTATAAAGTGAGAACATGGATTTGTCAGATGTTACTAACTGTGTACTGATAGTAAAACTGCTGTGGAAAAACAGTTTAGTTAATTTTGATGCCTTTCTGGAAAAATAACAGGCTTGTGTACAGTGTGTATGTGTAGAGCAGGCTTTGGCATCGCCTGGCGCCCAGTTGGAAATGCTGACAGTATCAGTGGAGGATTGGGACTGGCTGAGCAGATGGTGTGTATGATAGGGCCCTATCAGCTCCAGGGAGACCAGCACACACACATAGAAAAACAGAGACATTGGATTGAAATCGTGCATACATCTGTGTGTGTGTGTGTGTGTGTGTGTGTGTGTGTGTGTGTGTCTATGCACCTGTGTCAGTGTGTGGGCTTTCTAGGGCCCGACTGCCCCTAAAAGTGAAATTAAACCTGTCTGAAGTTTAGTATTCCCCACACATGGGGACCGTTATGGTGGTCATAAAATTAGATCATTGTTTATACTTCCGCCGTTTTTGCTCTGCTCTTCCAAGAAGAGATTTTGTCAGTCAACCAAGTGTGGGCGTGTGATGCCATCTTCTCTGTTTATGTAGTTTGACTTTCTGTAGGCGGTACTCTTTTTCTCGCCACCTTTTTCTGATTTTATTTATTTCAAAATGACCTATTCACAGATAGAAAAACAGACACATGGAGTGAGGTGGAGAGGCTGTCTTTATGGGTGTTTGTGCGTGTGACTCACCTTGATCTTGCCCTCGCAGTGAGGGAAACCCTCCAAAGGCGGCAGCTCGCACTTCTCCTGGGCTCCATTTAGGAGGTCTGGAGAAAGACAGAAAGAGAGAAAATCGATAAGGTCAAGTCAGTCGGCCGTCTGTAACTTTAACAGGATGGATGATCCTCACACTGAAGACAATGCAAATACAAACTGTAACACTTTAGAAACACATGAACCAAGCTTTCCTGGTTATTTAATTGAAGTTATAACTCTTAAAACCCAATTCGTAATACTGCAAATCAATTTTAAATATTACAGGGAGTAATGGAGCTGTGATATGAAGAGCTGAAAACCAAAACCTTGTTTTGACTGATCAGCCATGTCTGATTGATTGGGGGAAAGAAAATTTCACCTGCTTTTTCAGTATCATCCAAGCTCACTATCTCTCTTTTGAATTGAAAGAGACCTCCAAACATACAGAGTGGCTGCCTGCCAAAGCAGCTTGTAGATAAACAGCAAAAACTGCCATCCCCTGGCAAAGATATAGGGTCATTTGTCTGGTCGGTGGTGTCAATTTCCCATCCAGCTCGATAGACAGACAGATAGCCGGGCAGACAGATGACATGGCATTGAAAGCAGTTCCTTTGCTCGATGACTCAACATGTTCTATCTCTTGGCTGTGATTGGACAACTTTCTCATGTACTTCACCTTGTAAATGACAACGAGACACGCAAACACATGAAACTGGATAGGGGAAGAAACCCAATATGCAGCCTAGGTGACAACCAGCATGGCTGTGCAGTGAGACAGGTGAGGATGTGCCAGAAGGGAAAGTTCATCTAAAGGCTAAGAAGTTATTGGTTCCAAAATCCAAAAGACAAAAATGAGTCCAATTTCTTTTGAAATTTGTCACATTTCGATGCTCTAATTGGTTGCAAGTCATGTTTCGTTGCTCTGATTGGTTGTAGGTCACATTTCATTGCTCTGATTGGTTGTAGGTCACATTTCATTGCTCTGATTGGTTGCATGTCATGTTTTGTTGCTCTGATTGGTTGTAAATCCAACCAATTGCTTGATAATGCCCTCAGGAAATCAAAAATGAACTGAAAGGTTCCAGGCTACATTTACCCATCAGCCTCAGCTGCATCTTGTGGTTAGTGCTAATAGCAAGTCATGCTAAATTACTAATCAGAGATTTATGATAAACATTATACATGTTAGCATGTTGACATTATCCCAGCACGTCAGGCCGGTTGCATCCTGGAATGACAGCTGGAGTCTGCCCATTACACTGTGGTCAGGGATGACTGTCAGCCAACAGGATCACCTTTGGCTTTGCAATCTGAACACCATCATAATGGAAACCACAAAGAGCGGAGTGCTCGGGCCAGTTGAGGCCACAGTGATGCAAATACGCATCAAGAAGCATTTAAGACATTTTTCTTCTGATCGGTTTGCTTTCTGCAATAAACAAATGAATACAACCGCAGTGGGGGAGGGAGTCACTCTGCATTTTTCCTGCATTGCTTTCAATATCCCAAGAAGCCAATAAAACCGTAGGATTAACATTCATGGCTTGCACGCAGGCTTCCCTTCATATAATCACCTTTTTGAGATCCCCATTCAGAGACGTTAACGTCATCGCCACTGACCTTTATAGCCAGAATATAAATAATGCATTATGGTAGGCTGTGCGGTGAATAGATAAAAGCTTAGGCGCAAACACCAGACTGATGTTATGAGTTTGTGGGTGGTGTTTTAGTCAGAGGATGTGTGTTTATAGAGGTTTGTGTGTATGAAGTTAATCAGTGGCTCCAGAGCTGGGTCTATCTTCTGTCAGGGTGGGTGGGGGTGAAGGGTGGAGCAGAGGCTCCTACATTGTGTTCATCGTAGATTCAGTTTATTTGCACTGACAAGCTGCTGCGGTAAACAGATATTCTACTGGTAAACTTTTTTCCCTCTCTCCATCTTCCTGTGCTGCTCTATCTCGCCTAGATTAGTGTGGAAAACATTTCACTGGCACTCGCTCTGTCAGCGCTGTGTATCAGGAAGAATTAGAGATAAAAGAGAGGTGATGACATGTCACAGAGTGCTACAACTGAAAACATCGCCACCAACCCAAGTTTCCATCCACTGTTTCAGTCACCATCAAGGGAGAGAGAACAGGGGATGTGTGGTTGTACCCAGGGGCATAAATCCCGGGGGGGACCGGGGGGACATGACTCCCCCTTCAGTAAAGCTGAACCCCCCTAGAATCATTTGAGACACAATTAATAATTTTTGAACAATGCAGTAGTATTTATATATAAATACTATATAAATATAAATATATATAAATATATATATGTATACTTTAGTTAGTATAGACATTCACTCTGCCTGTTGGAGAGATATAGAGAAGATTAAAGCGTCAAATTGCGGTAAAAGATGCTGTATAAAAGACAGGCTACAACTTTTTTTCCTTGCCCCCCTCCCCCCCGGAATTATTCTCTAAAATTTTACTGTTTAGTGTCCCCCCTAACTATGAAATGGGATTTTCGCCCCTGGTTGTACCTGCGTCATTGTGAGAATGACCCCCTTACAACATAAATGCCCCATCTCTACAGCCTCTCTGGGTCGTTTTGCAACAGTTTTTTTGTTGGTAAACAATGAACAGAGGAGACACAGAGCTGTTAACAGGATCAGTTTACAGGATATCGGATATGTTTACCTTTAATTGTCAGGTGTGAACACATAGCAACATTACACTGTCTAAATAGGTGCATTTCATAGTGAATAATTTTGAGAACAATAGATACCACTACACTCAACAGCTATGCTGGCTCAAACACTGTTATATGCTGTGTATTATGGTAAGTGTTCAAGGTAAAATCCTTATGTCTGTTAATCAAAGTCAATATATGATCATTCCCATCTGTAAGAAAGAGGAAATGACAAAGTGACACGAAAAGTGGAAGTACTAAGTAAGTAAGTATTTTTATCAAACAAAAACATGAAAAGTATGCTGGACATCAACAGTGTTTGGTTTCTATTACTGTGTACAGTTTGTATATTTGTTATTAACCTCAGTCCTAGGTGGACCCCACTGCTAGGTTTAGAGTTACAACGGAAAAGTAGTCTGTATTTATGCTCTCAGCAAGCCAACTAATAACAATCACTATTATTTCATAAGCAGCATACCCAACACTCCTGCTGATTAATGTGATTTTAATTCCATGTGGTTTAAAGAGGAAAGAGGTTGGAGGCCAGTCAGCCATTCCTGATGCAGCCAGTCACAATATGAGCACAGTAAAGGCTTCTTATTGTTCCCGATGGCTGCAGGAGTCCGGCAACAAACAGAGGGATTAAACATATTATGGAGCAGGAAAAGAAGCATGTTTTAGCCACTTTTAGCCAGCGCTGGCATTAAAGCAATACTTCACACCAAATAAACCTTTGTTTATCACACCCCCTATTATGGAGAATTTGTGAGGAAACTGGTTTCACATGCCACGGTCAACAACAGCAAAACTATATCATACATTGAATTCATAAATTCAGTGTATCACGGGGTGCCTAACTGAAATACAAATGGCTATTTGAGGGGTGAAGTGTTTCTTTAAACCACCTGCTAGTTCAAGGTGTCAGATATATATTTAATCAACATTTAGGTAAATACAAGTATCAACTTGGATCAGAGAGACATTTTAAGTACATATCATACATGTACCCTTGTCTAGTGCTTCCACTGTCAGATCCTTTCTTTTATTTAATTGCAGTCATCTTGTCCAGTCTTGTTGTTTTTGTTGTCCTTTTTGTCCTCCATTTCCACTACTGTCGCCTTAAGATACCTGACTTGTGATCTGTTGTTTGGTAAAGTGGCTGTCTTGTGCAGCATGCAGGAGCCACAAGCACAAAGTGAGTTACCGCTATCTCATCCCTCAGACGCCCAGTCATCCAGTCAGTCCACCAAACAACCAACCAGGCAGCCTGTCATTCATTCTGTCATTCAGCCAGTCAGCCGGCGAGCACCAAAGCCACCAGGCAAATCTTCTCCTTGCTTTAATCAAGCAGAAGAAGCTGCTGCCAAGGAGATGCTAAATATAGCTCCCTTTATAATCAAACGCAGCAGAGGTGGTGCTGTTTCAAAGGGAGACGGTTACTCGTAGTTTCACCTTCACCGCAACATGGATGGAAATCAATCCAGCCAAACCCTTCACCTGTCTTTTTTACTTCATACCCACTCACTTAAGACAAAGTCCAGTAACTAGCTGCTACGAATTAAAGCTGAGGGAGACGTGGCTGAGGTAACACACCCTGGCAGAGCGTCATGGAGCATTAGCAGAGCCTTTACTGACCAGGAAAATTCACAAGCAGACATAAGCATCTCTATATTTGCTGTCAGACATACAGTGTGACATTGAATAGGCTGACAAGAGGTGTGACTGATGCACTGAAGCGATGATGCAAGGCAGTAAGCCAAGCACCAAACCACACCTCTGTCTTGCAAACACAAGAACAAAGAAACCAAGGCAGAGGAAGAAAAACACAGAACATAGTGCTAAAATGTCAAACTTTCTTCAAATAGTATTCTGACAGTTCACAACACACTCTGACAATCAAACATAAGCACGCATGAGGTTAATTTGTAACAGAAAAAAAACACGACACCACCACAAGGTAAAATGATATCAAATAGAGGCATATAAAAGTAAAAATAATGAGCCAAAAGACGCATTAGGAAGTGATCTTAAATGTGCTGCACAGAGAACCAGAGGCAGAAAACAGATGAGATCATTCAAAGAGTCTCTCACAGCACTGAGGTCACCATTAGCCAGTTCCTAGCACACAGTATTGGCCATCTGATAGCCTTTAAATATAGTATCATCCCTGCACAATAACACACACTTAACACACAAGGTTTTTTCCCCTCTCCCTCCCTAAGTGTGTATGTCCAAGTCCATGAGGTAATGTGAAATTTGACAACTCCAGAATTGGATTGAGGACATCTGGTTTATGTTATTCTTTCTCTTGTGTACTTCTCCCGCTCTCTTTTTCCCATCTCTCTCGCTCCCATTGATTTCATTCTCAGGCACACTAAACCAAAAACCTTCCCTCAAACAA